ACAGCTAATTAAAAATAAATAAATTAATTAACTAATATCATCAACAATACACACTACAGTAAACCAGAGTACTAAAGGGAATTGCAAACACGTTGCAGAGAAATAAAGGAAATTGCAAAAAATGGATTTTGGGCATTTCGAATTCGTTCAAGCGCAACAATCAACTGCTTTCAAATCTACCAAATCGATTGCTTTCACGAACATGATAACTACCATCCCAGTAGTAATCCCCAATTGCTGAGAGAAATTGTGGGCCCCAAATTGCTTAATTTCGTCTTCGTTTGTCCACAGGCGCCGGAAGAGCTTGTAGGATTCGTTGGGTAGGACCTGGTTTTTGGCAACGATGGGTTCCTATTGACGGTTTTCTGATTGTGGGGAAGGCGACGGTGACATGGGCGGGGAGAAGAGAACGGAGTTGGGCTATTAATGGCGAAAGCGGCGGAAGAGGCGGAATCATCTTTGGTCGAAACTTTCTTCATCTTCGTTGAAGATATTATTAGCAGCGGCGGCGGAGGATTGTTGGGATCACCGACGGATGCCGATTAAGAATTTCCTGATTTGAGGGCTCACGACGAGACAAAGTTGTGCTAATTGGTTGGTTTCGAGTTGATAGTGAGATGTGGTTCAACGCTTCAAATGGGTGGAAATAGGGAGAGGCACCGCCGGCGAGACAAGAAAGAATGAAAAAATCGAACAAGGGAGAGGCACCGCCGGGAGAGAGGCTGCCGGTGAGATGCTTGTGGTGGCAGTGGGTTTCTTCTGCTCAATATTTGATTTGGAAGAAGGTGTGCTTACTAGGGTTGTACTCAAAGGTACAACCCGATAATGCAAACATATTTTAAGGACAAAACGGTAACTGCACACATATACTAACGGTGTTAAGTTTTTGACAGTTGACTGAAAATAGCAGGGGTCATTTCGTTACGTTTCGTAGTTCAAGGGGGTGTTTGTGACAACCCCTATAGTTCAGGGGTGCAAACTGTACTTTCCCCTTCAATAAATTATATCATATAAAAAATGATTTTTTTATAAACATTCACCACACCTATTAAATTTTTATTTTTGATATTGTAATTGAATAAATGTGTTGAACTTAATTTCAGAAAATAATATGAAATTTAAACAAATAAATTATTTTTTGCATAAAACCCCCTTGTATTGTAGAAAATATGCATTAAATCCCCCTATGTTACGAAAAACTTGCATAAAACTCCATCTACAGTTAACGGTGTTAACTTTTAACGGAAAAGGGGATTTCGTGCAAAGTAAAATAAAACAAAGGGGTTTTATGCAAGAAAAAAAACATAGGAGGATTTGGCGCAGGTTTTTCCTTAACACGGGGGAGTTTTATGCTGTTTACCTTTAAACTCATAATGTAATTTTTGCTAAGTTAATATTTTGGGAAAATATAAACTGAATAGGGGTAAAAATGGTCCGTGCAGAAAAATAAGAGGGTATTCCAGATATTTACCATTTTTTATTAGCTTATTAGACGGCCGCTACACCTTGACAACCACAAAAGGGTAAAATTCTTAAATTGATATCAAAGGAGGGTGAAGTGCACAATAGGGAAACTATATGGGGGTTAAGTGCTATTTATCCTTTTGAAAAGAGAAAATGTAAAAATATAAGTTAATGATCATTAGTGAGAATTTTTTTTTAATAAACATTGAAAATTTAGCCTCAACATTTTTTAAAATACAAAAGTTATATGTAAATAAAGAAAAAGAAATTGAAATCAAGGGTATGCAAGTCCACACTCTTGCACACAAGTGGATCTACCACTCCACGCAATCGAACACTAATAATCAGCATAAGTATTGCTTCCATCAGCATGGTTATTACTATGCTACACTCGTTGAAAACTACACCAGGTGATTTTTTACGGTTGATTTAAACACATCAATATAGGTGTATGTGTATCTGTGTGGATATGAATGGTAAAGATCTACTAGGTGTATTTCACCTGGCGTATCATAGAATAGACCAGCATGACCCCAATCACCATAATTACGGGTGGGCATTCAGGTCAGATTGAATTATTCGATTTTTTGCAAAAAAAAGTATTACCCGAACCCGATTATTTCAGGTCGGGTTCGAATTTTGCTGTTTTTTTTTACTAATTATTTAATACTTCAAATTCTACAGGTGAGATCACACTTCATAAAATATTAAAAATATATTATATATTGCTTTACTTGGTTACAAATACGGGTAGTAGAGTAAAATATATTGTTACATACACAGGTTGATAAAAAAAAAAAAAGAATTACTAAATTTGTTACACAAAAACAATTAATCACAAATACATAAAAGGAGACCGTAACCAATTTTACACAAAAGATTTTTTTTTTCTTTTTTTACCGGGAACCCGATCAGTTACCCGAGTAGAATCGCTAATACGCAAACCCGACCCGATTTGGGAGTACCGGGTACCCGAACCCGAAAAACCCGGTTAATTCAAAAATTATCCGATCCGGTCGGGTCATAACCTGAATAACCCGACACGAATCCCACACCTAACCATAATGGTTCAAAAAAAACAACATAAAACGAAAAAAAAAATAGAAAAAAAAAAAAAACTGTACGTGTGTGTATACATTATATACAAGAACCCTCTATTGCCATTTTCCACAGCAATAATAAAATAAAATCAAAATCAATTAAAAGTAAAAATCGAACGTCCCCCACGATCGATCATCTTATCCACTCAAAATTTCAAAATATATAGCTCGTGTACTTAGAGATGAATCCGCCCGAGCGTTCGAAAAGTTTATTCATATAATGAATGAAGGCAAAACCAAAGATCTTCACAATCAAATCTTCAAACGAGTTTGAAACCAAGTGTTGTATCATCTTCACAGCCAGCATCCCTATCACAATGCTCAGACTCCTGCACCACCACAACAACGTGCATTAATCAATTAAACAAGCTTTCAAGGCAAAGCGCGTCGTTATAATATTCGGTGCATTTGTATAAACTCGGTTTACGTACCATATTTGAGGCAGTATTTTCATCACCAAGTACGAAAGGATTAGCCCTAGCAAGCTAGTAGCCACGCCTTTCATGAGTAAACTACCGAGGCTACTCGCAATGAACCCTCGTATAACCTGAGGAATATAATTAAGTGGTCCTTCTTGCAATGCGAAATTGTAGACCACACCCAATTGGTACTCTTCAACGGAACGTACTTCTTTATTGAACTACAACGAAAGAAACACTTGAGATGAGACCCATGTACTTATTCATAGCTGTCGAATAAATTGGGCAATTAGAGAAATGCATTCGTTAAGTATGTAGTTACCATTTCCGGGGTAACGTCTTTTATAGTGGCTGAAGGATTTCCGGCTGTGCACTGAATTAAAAACTTATCTTTGCATTGCGTTTCCTGAGGAATTTCGTTCTGAGCTTTCATTCTCACTTTACAAAAAAACAACAATTTTTGGCTAAGTTCACTTCATCTTTATAACAATAAGCAAAAGCCCGGAATGTATTAGTTTCTTGCTAAGTACTCCCTCTGTTCCACAATATCTGTCTCTTTTAAGAATTTTTTTTCTCCATGTGTCACTTTGTAATTCCAATGTTGCATTAATTACATATTTTTCAATTATATCCAACACCCTTTCTGCATTAATTAGTAAACAAGGGTATTTTGTCTATTTATATATATTTTCTAAAATCAAGACATATTTATTGAGATATTTAAGACTCGTGCCAAGGCGAAAAACGACACATGTTTAGGAACGGAGGGAGTATTAAATAGAGCAAACTAATATGCTTAAAAAAAAAGAGAAAATAATATAAAATAGTTACCAATAACATCACAAGTTGATCGCGGCAACACAATCCCCGTGTTTGGTAGAACACAATACTTCTTTGAATCTGTAGTTTTCACCTACACACATAACTAATATATGTAGTTTATGCACGTCAACTTAAAAAAATATCAACTTTCAATGAAGGAACAGTAAGGGTGCATTTGGATGGAAGGATTTGATGCAGGGATTCTAAATCCATAGCTCTCATCTTTAGTTGTTTTTGAGCAATTGTTTGGAATTTCAAATTTTCCCAATTTACATTCAATTGAAATCACTCAATCCAAATGCAGCCTAGGAAAGGCAGTTATCAAAGGCAAATGATGGGCAGTTTGAGCAATAAAAAAGAGTAGGAATTTTTGCAAGAATTAGATTTGCTGACATGATAATGGAAACTTACATTAAAAAAGACACAAGTATCGGTGATATTTGACAATTTGAGCGAACAAGAGAGCGCCTTCCTCAGCTTAACTAACAGAAATTAAGAAACAATTAGGACCGGAAAAAAATTAAAATAAAAGTATGAAACTCAAGAATGCGTTAAAATGATGTATCTAACGACTTACAATCAAACTTGAACTCTGAAGGATTAATTTCAACAAGTTTGCTGACGCCCATCTTGCATTTCAACCAACGGAAATAATATTACGAAAATGAGAGCAAAAACAAGAACTACAATCAACGTAATACAAGTTGAAGACGCAAGTAAAGTATTTTAGGGCAAATTACGGCCACCCCTGAGTTATGGTCAAATTACGAAAACCCCCTTCTATTTAGGTAATTACAGTCACCCCTCAACTATGTTCTTTCTTATGAAAAGACCCCTCCAAAGGTAAATTTAGGGATGTTAATTCGGTAAAACCGAACCAAAATTTCGGCACACCAACATTTCATACCGTTTACCAAACTGAATATACGATTTGGTTCAATAAATAACCGAATTACATAAATTTATGTAAAATAATTTAAAGGGAGGGGATGGCTGTAATTACCCAAACAAGAGGGATTTTTTCGTAATTTGGCCATACCTCAGAGAAAGTGTAGATAACTCCCAATTTGCATTCTTGAATTTGAAGTCCAGCCTCCTTATCAAACTGCAAATTCCAAAATCTTTAATTTCAGATTTTAAGTTGACTATCTATTTGTTTGAAGATAGTAACAAAGATGTAGAACAAAGATAAATAGGATCAACCATATATAACATAAACATTCTATTTATTTATTTTTGAATATATTTTTACCAGCTTCTTAATAGCATCTACTGGGGTTGCACCCGAACTTGCAACCACAGTATTAATCAAAAATATGTCCGAACATTTCCCTTCAGTTGGGAGTGCAGTTGGACCAATCATTTTAACTGCAACATAAATAACAACAGATGAAAGTTCAAACATTTTTTTTTTTTTTTTATGGGTAAATTACACCCACACCCCTGAGGTATGCTAAAATAAATTTAAAATCCCTGTGGTATTGCTAATTACAATTACCCCTGCAACATTGTTAGAAACTCTAATGTGATTAATGTATTGGATACGTTATTGCGATAGAGTTCTAATGGACTATTAGTTTCAGGAAGTGGTGAAGACAACATAGAGTTCGAAAGCAATTTAAGAAATTTTGGGGTAACCACTTACTGAAACTAATAGTCCGTTAGAATTTTATCGAAATAACATATCCAATGCATTATCCCATTAGAATTTCTAACAATGTTTCAGGGAGTGATTGTAATTACCAATACTACATGGACCTTAAAGTTATTTTAGCATACCTCGGGGGTATAGGTGTAATTTACCCGTATTTTATTTTTATTTTTATTTATTTTTTTGTGTGTTATGACAGCAGAGAAAACAGAGAGGCAAAAGAAAAGAAATGTTGAGGTACCTGAAACATCACAACTCGATCCTGGCGAAACAACTCCGATATTCGGTAGGACGCAGTAATTCTTCGGTGTCGTAGTCATAACCTAAACACAAATGACAGTAGTCAACTAATTAGCACTCAGAAATCAGAAAATAATAGAGTAAAGAAATTCCACCTTAAACGCAACATGCTGATCGGTCTTATTGGAAAGTCGGATCGACGAAGATGATTCCTTATTCGGCTCGTCTAACCAAGCCAACAAAATAACAAAAAATAAACAAAAGATAATCAATAAATACCGTTGCTCCATATATCCGCAAAAGCTAAAAAATGTGATGAACATAATAAATAAACTGACAAGTAAAATTGAGGTGTTGAGGTTCGATAATCAGAAGCTTTTCCATTGATCAATTAATCCTTTGAAAAATCACTAGTCGATCGTATATCAGACAATTTGATGATGGGCGAACTTGAATTGGAATCGGATGAATGTAAGGAAGCGTAAATCAAATACATGAACATGTAGGAGTAGAAAACGACTCGACAAGTTTTATAATAAAAGTCAAAAGTCATCTCTGGACCTTTTCAGAGTGCATGTCTTTTGATTTAATTGCAAATATCACCCCTGTGAAATCTCTAATCCTTTAATACCACCTGTCAAAAAAAATTCGCTCATACCCCCTGTGTAATACTTTTCGAAGCTCACCGCACCCATTATTATTTTGATGGTTGACCGAAGTAAAGAAGACAAGTATACCCCTAAGTGGAATAACATAAAATTATAATAATTTAAGAGGCTAAACTGGAATTTTGTTAAACGTCTAAAACTTAAATTGGGGGACTAAATTGCAATTTTCCAAAACCCATCTCCTAACTTTCTGCAATTTTGCCCAGCCACAGCCCAATTCCCCACTCTTCCTCTCAATTTCCAATCATACTTATCATTCACCGCCGCCGCCCACCACGCACCACCACATCCATCAATTTTTCGGGCTTCTTCAAGCTCCGAATTTTTCGGTGGCAGCGTAGAAGCTCACGGCTTGATCGATTTTGTCGATTTCTGATGAAGGGTCTGTGTTTTTGCAGGTCTAAAAATGGTGGCGGGTCCGGCGATGTTGCTGTGGAAGTAGGTGGAAGAATTGGAGTGGGGATGGGCAGAGGTTTGGACTCGCTTCTCCCAATTGATGGCGCCCCATTTCGCGGCGGAGGTCAAGCGGTGGGTGGCGGAGGGCCAAAAATTAGGACGTATGGGGCGGCGAAAATGGAAGCCCAGAAAAGAGTTATGGTGGAGTAATTTTGTGACCGCCAAGATGGAGTTTTATTACACCATCTTCATCTTGCGGCTGGTAGTGGTAATCGTTGGTGGGTACATGTTCGGGACGATGAATGTTGGGGACGATGAAGAGTGAAGAAGAGGGAGGGAAAATGAGCCTGGGGACATTTTTGATATTTCATAATCGAAAATTAAGACAAAATTGCAGCTGGAGCGCGTGAGAGACACGATATGCTTTTATGGGTCTCAATGTCTTGACTTTGTTTACACAGGGTGGTATGAGCGAATTATTTTTTGATAGGGGGTATTTGACAATTAGAGATTTCACAGGGTTGGTATTTGCAATGAACTACATGTCTCTTACACAATGGAAATAAATAAAGAGGTTTTTACAAATAAGTCCATCAATGGGTACTTATTCATAAAAAGAGTCAGGCAATAAACTCATTTACAAATAAGTCTATCTATGGTCCACATTTTTGTAGAAGACTAAAATAGCTCATCATACTTTAATATGCTCCAATGTCATCCTTTAATTTAATTTATCTCAATTTGACCCCAAATTTCACAAATCATTAAATTTTGACCCAAAACACATTTTTATGAACAATTTCGTCCGTCTCAGGCAATAAACTCATTTACAAATAAGTCTATCTATGGTCCACATTTTTGTAAAAGACTAAAATAACCCCTCATACTTTAATATGCTCCAATTTCATCCTTTGATTTAATTTAACCTCAATTTCACCCCAAATTTCACAAATTATTCAATTTTGACCCAAAATACATTTTTATGAACAATTTCGTCTATTACAGCCGTTGACTTTTTTTTTTTTTCCTTCCTGATTTTTTCGCCAGTCACCGGCGTTGATTTTTTTTCCTTTCTGTAACATTTGTTTTTCGTTTAAACAACAATATTGTTGTGATTGACAGTAATATTAACTATATTACTATTAAGCACAGTAAAATTAACTGTACTACAGTTTAACAAAGTAATATTGCCATATTAATCTCTAGCACAGTAATATTAACACAACAAACTAATTATTATTGCGTAATAGAGTAATATTACTATGTTGAACGTTCAACAAATGTAAACATAATAAAAAGCCAAAAGAATTAATATTACTGTGAGTGATAGTAATATTACTATAACAACAGTAATATTACCGTCAACCACAATAATAATACAATAATAGACAGTAATATTATCACGTTACTCCGTGAATAACTTTAACAAACAAAAAAACTCAAACAAAATAATAATATCGATGTGGTTGACAACAATATTACTATAACAACAGTAATATTACCGTCAACCACGGTAGTATTATTATGTTTACAGTAATATTACAATAATAGACAGTAATATTATTACGTTACTCCGTGAATAACTCAAACTAAACAAAAAACCCAGAAAAATAATAATATTGATGTGGTTGACAGTAATATTATTGTGTTTACAGTTATATTACTATCAACGACAGTAATATAACTACGTTGACTTGTCAACAAATCAAACAAAATTAAAAAAAAAATAAGAAAAAAAAATAATAATATTACGTTAATGTATTGTCAACGACAGATGAACAAATACATAAATGTATGTCAACAGCAGTACAATTACGTTAATGTACTGTTCATTGACAGTATAATTACGTTAATTTACTGTCAGTGACAGCACAATTACTGTCAACATTTAGTGCCGGAATAGAAAAAAAATAATAGAAAAAAAGAAAAACTAAAAAAAATTAACGCCGGAATCCGGCGGCGGAAAAAAACAGACCAGAATAGAAAACTAAAATCGAAAAGTCTACGCCGGAATCCGGTGGCAAAAAAAATGTTTTTTGAAAAAAAAAAGTCAAAATTGGATTTTTTTTTTGAACAAAATTGATTAAATTGGGGTTACAATTAAGAATTGGGTATAAAGGGTTGGGGGTAATATTGTCATATACATAAATGTTTCATTTATTTATAATAAATATTAATGTGATGTGCTTATTGGTGAAAGAGATATATTCCCTAAACATAGAATAATAAAGATACTTGGTTAGAAACCTACCCACAAAACCCCATAAATAAATTGCAACTGAGCAATAAAAAAATTGCCAACGCATAAAAGCAAAATACGAATACAATAAGGCCCGATCCTAGGATTTCGGGGCCCAACAACATATCAAAATTATAATAAGCATTAAAACCACATTTTAGTAAAAATAAAGCACTAAAAATATATAACAAGTTACATATATAATATATATATATATATATATATATATATATATATATATATATGGAGTAGTTCAAATAATATTGTTATAACTACTCAAACTATTGGAATATACAAATTGTGAAGTAAGAGTCGATCCAGGATTCTTTTGGTTGGGAAGATCAATAATCTGAAGGGTGAACTAAAGTTTACTGGGGGTTGGCGGCAGCGGCCCCAAATATTTTAAGGATATTTATTGTTAAAAAAAAAAAAAACAACACAAATAAGTAAAAAAAATTATATATTATTAAATTAAACTATTATAGAGTATGTATACAGTATGATCATTAGAACTCCTTAGAATAATAGATTTGTAATGTGCGTGGATTAGTTGAAGGAGTAAAATTGTAAAAAATAAAATATAAAAATCTTGTAATAGACAGAATTTGATAGATTGAAAATACAAAGAGGCGTGCTAAATCTCATACTAAAATTTACTAAATTTGACACATAATTAAAACAATCTCATATTCTTTCTAACTTTTCTCTAAGATGATTTTATCCAAGTCACTCAAAATTCATTATTTTTTACGTGAATAATCATAAAAAATGAGTTCAATTTTAATTAATATTTATTCGATTTCATTAAGCCTATTTAATTATTCAAATTCATATATTCGATTTTTTTCCTCAAATCAATTTTATTTTAGTTTGAACATGTGAATTTTTTTGTCAAATTCGAACTTGGGATGCTAGGGACATTTTTAGTGTGTGATTTGTGAAAAGTTAGGGAAAAAGAAGAAGAGTGTGGAAGGAGAAGAGAAAATGTTAAAGAAAAAAATATATTTAGTTATGTGCATGATTTGATAAAGTTAGTGCAGGATTTAGCATTTCAGAAACACAAAACATCAGAAGAGTGTAATTTACATGATTTATTTGTGGGGTTTTTTCCAAATGTATTTTCATTTTTTTATTTAAGATACTTTGTTAAACAATTAATTTATTGGGTAAAGTTTATTTTGGAAATAAAGGCCTTAAATAAAAATGTTATATAAATACTAACATATAAAGAATTATTTTTCAAAATCAGTGGCCCCTAAACTTCGTAAAAAATCGGGGTCCAAGGCGGTTTGCCTTTGTCGTCTCCCTTCAAAACCGGGCCATAGAGTTAAGTGTTATTATACCAACCAGACCGTTCCCAAACCCTACATTTTTCATTTCTCTCTTCTCTCTTCTCTACCTTTTTTCTTATCTTTTCTATTCATGCACTCAAATCTCTAGGTTCTTCTCTCTCGATCCAGAGATGAAGAACAAGTATGTCACCAGCGCCGGTAGTACAACAACGCTCCTTCTCCTTCTCCTAGAGAGGTCGCGGCGAGGGCGACGGTGATGAGGGGCGGGATTGGTCTTGGGTCGCTCCGTTTGAGTAGATGTTCAATGTTGGAGGTTAATCGACTACGTTTTTAACTTCATTTTTTGAATTTTTGTTTATTTATTCTTTATTACGCCTTTTGATTTTTTTTGTTAATTTAGTTTTCTTATTATATGTTGTGAATCTGATGGAACATCACCAATTCACTTAAATAGTATGATACTGTTCACATGAACCAATATCAAGCCCAAATGGCTTTACTCTTGAGTTTCTCAAAATGCATGATATCAATGTGATACCATCCGGCCTTATAAATTCATGACATTTCTTGTACTCAATTAATAATATGGGACTTTACTTATGCACCTCACAATTTTTCCCCTCGAACAAAGGAGGGTTTAACAAATTTCCCCGGCTAAAAAAGCTCTTATAAATTATAGGGGTTTTTGTGTATAAGTCTCTAACCAAACATCTTTATTATTCTAGATTTAGGGGCTATATCTCTTTCACCAATAAGCTCATCCATTTAATATTTATTATAAATAAAGGA